GACAAATGATCTAGACGAGGCAGCAGTCCGCTATTATTCAAATCGATTAATCAACGACAATGCTCATTAGTCGTAACGTAAACGTAAATGAATCAACAAGCTCTTTATCCGGTAAAATCGCTTTAAACGTGTTTCTCTGGATAATATACCCATGCGACTGAGTAAACGTCAAAATGCTTGAGCAATCATTCAGTGTTTATTGAAATTCGTGGCAACTTTCACGAAAAATGAAACTTGAACCTATTTTCTGGACTATGGCATTTTATGGTAAAATTTACCGACCACACGCAATTGACGTAAATTTTAACGGTAAAAGGCTTCCAAAAATATGAGAAACCTAGATTTTTAAAAAAATCAACAACTTATTACTTAGTTCCAGGAGTATTTGATGCATGCACAATCCCTTAATGCCAGTTATCGGCTTAAATGTATTACTAAATCTTACTTGTGTTTTTCTTCAGCTTTCCAATTCTCATCTAGAGCGGTCTTCAGAGAATGCTTTATGTATATGTATTCCAAAAATTCAAAATATATATAGTGTTAGTACCGGTACTTTTAAAATAAATCAGGAGCAGGTTCTACACAAATATCTAGACCTGCAGCAAGGGCGGCTGTGACAAAAGTCGAGAATTTTGAAAAATCGTTCAACATTGATATTTAGCTACATTTTCATGGATCATTTAACGACAAATGATCTAGACGAGGCAGCAGTCCGCTATTATTCAAATCGATTAATCAACGACAATGCTCATTAGTCGTAACGTAAACGTAAATGAATCAACAAGCTCTTTATCCGGTAAAATCGCTTTAAACGTGTTTCTCTGGATAATATACCCATGCGACTGAGTAAACGTCAAAATGCTTGAGCAATCATTCAGTGTTTATTGAAATTCGTGGCAACTTTCACGAAAAATGAAACTTGAACCTATTTTCTGGACTATGGCATTTTATGGTAAAATTTACCGACCACACGCAATTGACGTAAATTTTAACGGTAAAAGGCTTCCAAAAATATGAGAAACCTAGATTTTTAAAAAAATCAACAACTTATTACTTAGTTCCAGGAGTATTTGATGCATGCACAATCCCTTAATGCCAGTTATCGGCTTAAATGTATAACTAAATCATACTTGTGTTTTTCTTCAGCTTTCCAATTCTCATCAAGAGCGGTCTTCAGAGAATGCTTTATGTATATGTATTCCAAAAATTCAAAATATATATAGTGTTAGTACCGGTACTTTTAAAATAAATCAGGAGCAGGTTCTACACAAATATCTAGACCTGCAGCAAGGGCGGCTGTGACAAAAGTCGAGAATTTTGAAAAATCGTTCAACATTGATATTTAGCTACATTTTCATGGATCATTTAACGACAAATGATCTAGACGAGGCAGCAGTCCGCTATTATTCAAATCGATTAATCAACGACAATGCTCATTAGTCGTAACGTAAACGTAAATGAATCAACAAGCTCTTTATCCGGTAAAATCGCTTTAAACGTGTTTCTCTGGATAATATACCCATGCGACTGAGTAAACGTCAAAATGCTTGAGCAATCATTCAGTGTTTATTGAAATTCGTGGCAACTTTCACGAAAAAGTAAACTTGAACCTATTTTCTGGACTATGGCATTTTATGGTAAAATTTACCGACCACACGCAATTGACGTAAATTTTAACGGTAAAAGGCTTCCAAAAATATGAGAAACCTAGATTTTTAAAAAAATCAACAACTTATTACTTAGTTCCAGGAGTATTTGATGCATTCACAATCCCTTAATGCCAGTTATCGGCTTAAATGTATAACTAAATCTTCTTTGTTTTTCTTCAGCTTTCCAATTCTCATCAAGAGCGGTCTTCAGAGAATGCTTTATGTATATGTATTCCAAAAATTCAAAATATATATAGTGTTAGTACCGGTACTTTTAAAATAAATAAGGAGCAGGTTCTACACAAATATCTAGACCTGCAGCAACTGGCGGCTGTGACAAAAGTCGAGAATTTTGAAAAATCGTTTAACATTGATATTTAGCTACATTTTCATGGATCATTTAACGACAAATGATCTAGACGAGGCAGCAGTCCGCTATTATTCAAATCGATTAATCAACGACAATGCTCATTAGTCGTAACGTAAACGTAAATGAATCAACAAGCTCTTTATCCGGTAAAATCGCTTTAAACGTGTTTTTCTGGATAATATACCCATGCGACTGAATAAACGTAGAAATGCTTGAGTAATCATTCAGTGTTTATTGAAATTCGTGGCAACTTTCACGAAAAATGAAACTTGAACCTATTTTCTGGATTATTAACAGGCACAGACCATTTTTTAGAAAAAATGAAAATAGACCTTGGTTTAAATTAAATTACCTAATTGATCACCGACTAAAGGATTATTAACAGGCACAGACCATTTTTTAGAAAAAATGAAAATAGACCTTGGTTTAAATTAGATTACCTAATTGATCAGCGACTAAAGGATTATTAACAGGCACAGACCATTTTTTAGAAAAAATGAAAATAGACCTTGGTTTAAATTAAATTACCTAATTGATCACCGACTAAAGGATTATTAACAGGCACAGACCATTTTTTAGAAAAAATGAAAATCGACCTTGGTTTAAATTGACAATAAAGTCCTTGTTTTTGCAAATTTGAAACTTTTCAGAATATTTGTCAGCATTTGTGTCAGAATTTTTGTCAGAATGTTGGTCAGCATTTTAGTCAGAATTTTTGTCAGTATTTGTGTCAGAATTTTTGTCAGAATATTGGTCAGAATATTTTTCAGAATTTTTGTCAGCCCGTCGGTAGACCTCACCTCGACATAAAGTCCTCGATTTTGCAAATTTGAAACTTTTCAGAATATTTTTGTCAGAATATTGTTCAACATTTTTGTCAGAATATTGGTCAGCATTTGTGTCAGAATATTGGTCAGAATATTTGTCAGCCCGTCGGTAGACCTCACCTCGACATAAAGTCCTTGTTTTTGCAAATTTGAAACTTTTCAGAATATTGGTCAGAATATTTGTGTGCATTTGTGTCAGAATTTTTGTCAGAATATTGGTCATTATTTTTGTCAGAATATTGGTCAGCATTTTTGTCAGAATATTGGTCAGTGTTTGTGTCAGAATTTTTGTCAGAATATTGGTCAGAATATTTGTCAGAATTTTTTTCAGCCCGTCGGTAGACCTCACCTAGACATAGAGTCCTTGTTTTTGCAAATTTGAAATTTTTCAGAATATTGGTCAGAATATTTGTCAGCATTTGTGTCAGAATTTTTGTCAGAATGTTGGTCAGCATTTTTGTCAGAATATTGGTCAGCATTTTAGTCAGAATTTTTGTCAGTATTTGTGTCAGAATTTTTGTCAGAATATTGGTCAGCATTTTTGTCAGAATATTGGTCAGCATTTTTGTCAGAATATTGGTCATAATATTTGTCAGCCCGTCGGTAGACCTCACCTCGACATAAAGTCCTCGTTTTTGCAAATTTGAAACTTTTCAGAATATTGGTCAGAATATTTGTCAGCATTTGTGTCAGAATTTTTGTCAGAATAGTGGTCAGCATTTTTGTCAGAATATTGGTCAGCATTTTTGTCAGAATATTGGTCATAATATTTGTCAGCCCGTCGGTAGACCTCACCTCGACATAAAGTCCTCGTTTTTGCAAATTTGAAACTTTTCAGAATATTTTTGTCAGAATAATGTTCAACATTATTGTCAGAATATTGGTCAGCATTTGTGTCAGAATTTTTGTCAGAATATTGGTCAGAATATTTGTCAGCCCGTCGGTAGACCTCACCTCGACATAAAGTCCTTGTTTTTGCAAATTTGGAACTTTTCAGAATATTGGTCAGAATATTTGTCAGCATTTGTGTCAGAATTTTTGTCAGAATATTGGTCAGCATTTTTGTCAGAATATTGGTCAGCATTTTTGTCAGAATATTGGTCAGAATATTTGTCAGCATTTGTGTCAGAATTTTTGTCAGAATATTGGTCAGCATTTTTGTCAGAATATTAGTCAGCATTTGTGTCAGAATTTTTGTCAGTATTTGTGTCAGAATTTTTGTCAGAATATTGGTCAGAATATTTGTCAGAATTTTTGTCAGCCCGTCGGTAGACCTCACCTCGACATAAAGTCCTCGTTTTTGCAAATTTGAAACTTTTCAGAATATTTTTGTCAGAATATTGTTCAACATTTTTGTCAGAATATTGGTCAGCATTTGTGTCAGAATATTGGTCAGAATATTTGTCAGCCCGTCGGTAGACCTCACCTCGACATAAAGTCCTTGTTTTTGCAAATTTGAAACTTTTCAGAATTTTGGTCAGAATATTTGTCAGCATTTGTGTCAGAATTTTTGTCAGAATATTGGTCAGCATTTGTGTCAGAATTATTGTCAGAATATTGGTCAGAATATTTGTCTGAATTTGTGTCAGAATTTTTGTCAGCATTTGTGTCAGAATTTTTGTCAGAATATTGGTGCCTAATTCATCAGCGACTAAAGGATTATTAACAGGCATAGACCATTTTTTAGAATAAATGAAAATAGACCTTGGTTTAAATTAGATTACCTAATTGATCAGCGACTAAAGGATTATTAACAGGCACAGACCATTTTTTAGAAAAAATTAAAATACTCCTTGGTTTAATTAGATTACCTAATTGATCAGCGACTAAAGGATTATTTACAGGCACAGACCATTTTTTAGAAAAAATGAAAATACTCCTTGGTTTAATTAGATTACCTAATTCATCAGCGACTAAAGGATTCTAAACTGGCTTAGACCATTTTTCTTTAAACTTTAAAATTAGTCGTTGGTTACTTGCATTAGCAGTATTAGTACTTTTCAAATAAAAAATCTATTTTTCTGTATGAATAGGAGCAAAAGTTTCTCAAGCGTTGCTCTCTTCTCCGTTATGCAATTAAAATTAGACGGTAGAGCTCTTCTCGCGAATAGAATCGTGAATATTTCATTGAGATGCGCTTTTTCTGCATTACAGCCGAGTGCACGTGACAAAAGAAACTCTGCAGTACCTGGGCGACAGCTACGAAGTGGAGCCGGGAAACGGCGGCCAGCGAAACTCTTACCTCCGAACGAACAACATTGCGACGTACTTGATCGTGCCCAAGGATGAGTGCCGCATCAATGTGAGTAAACATAGATTATTTATTAATTTCCACTGAGTGAATCGATTTGACCTCTGTTGTGCGCAACTCACTGACTGACACATTCAAATTATTCAGCAGATTCAATGCAAAAGATAATTTTTCCGCACAAAAATTTGATATTTTTTATAATTAAAAATGATTAAAGTTATGCTCGGCTTTCTTTGTTTAGAAATACAATTTTAGTTGTAAAATGGGGAAAAAATTAGGCAATTAACTGTTCAGTACTGTTTTGAATAATTTTCATTCAGAAATAAAATTTCACTGGCCACCGCAGTTTATAATTTTTTATCTTCTTATAAAAAGGACAATAATTAATCTTGCTGGAAAAAAGGAAAAAGGAGCAAAAAATGACACTCTAAAAAAAAGCGACTGTTTCATCATTAGTCATGATTCCCTCGTGAGCAACTTTCTATGGGGGAAAAAGAAATGAAAAGAAACAAGAGAGTATTCAAAAAACATATTGTGGGAATCTCAATTGCAATAGTTTTTAAATTTAATAATAATTTATAAATTCCAGCATAAACAAAATTAAAATAAAATAAATAAAATGGATTTTTGACGTTATTTCATAATTTTTTAATTCTAAAACCCTCAATTTATAAGTAAATTAAAAATTAAAACCTTTAAAATTTGACAATTAGGAGGAAGGATTTTTATTTTATCAAACCTGCAAGATTAAAAAATGATTACAAATAAAAATGGATATTACGATAATTTGAAAATTTAACTTTTATTTAAACATTGCACATAAAATAAATTTTCATAATTTTCACATATTTTATGTTGCACAAAAAATGTGTTTAAATTTCTCATATGCTTATTATTAATACAATTGTTTTTCTTAAAAATTAGAAAAATTTTTATTATAATATTCGAATATTGCACCTAATTTATGCACAAATTGATTTAATTATTCTTTAAACAATAATTTTAGTGCCCATTCTTTTAAATTCATTTTTAGGAAGTTATTTAACTTATAAATAACTTCCCTCACTTAAATCATCCGTTCACCAACCTTGAATGTCAATGACACATTATTTATTCAAATCCTCTATATTATATTCAAAACAATTTAAATATTTTGTAACGTGTGCGTGTGTTTTGTATTTAATTTGAATTTGATTGCGTGCAGCCCCAGAAGCAGGCGTGCAACTCGAATAACAAGGGCGCGAACGGCGTGAGCGTTTCCAAAGAGCTGAGGGTCATGGGCCATCACCTGATGGTGGAGAACAGGTTCGATTGATTTTTTCCAACTCGTTTTATTAATTAATGAGGGCTGAATTTAGACTGGAGGAGCCGCGTGACCAGCAGGAGGAGCTCAACGACTACCTCAAACGCGCCATTGACGCGCGCAGCGTGGACAGGTTGCGTGCCGAGCACTGCAAACACTTCATGCTCAACTTCAGGCAACCCGACGTCGAGAAAAAGGTTCGTTTTTCTCACTTTGCGAATCGCGCGTGGCACCTCCAAATCCGTCGGAAATTAGGAATAACGACTTGTTTACCGAGGAAATAATAAACAAATTTGTACTAATGGCAAACACAGTGGAAAGTAATTTTCGGGGATCAAAAAAGTTTAGTGTAAAAATAAAAGTGGAAGAGATTATTGGGTAAATACAATTGGAAATTAATGTTGATTTAATTAGGGCTTAAATTTCAAATTCGGAAATATTTCAAAGGGTTTTTAGGCAACAAAAATCTTAATATGTTTGAAATAAACATGATTTCCGAATTTACGTTAAAATTGATTCCCTTATTGAGTCAGTTTTATTTTGATATAAATTTCTCTATTTCATTTTTTAATTTTTCTAAAATTTTAATTAGTGTTTTAAGGTTATAAAAATGATCCGATAAGTAGCCAAAATGCCCAGCAAAATTTTCTTCTCGAGAAAGAATCAAATACGTGAGAACAAGCATAATTGGATTATAGAATGATTTTATTATTTTTTATCGAAATTTATTTAAAAAAAAAATATACATCATTATCAAAATATTTACAGATCCACTCCGGTCCTTTGTATTGTTCTTTATTCTGAAAGATTGCTAAATTTCGAGTATATCTTGTGAAAAAACTATGTGAAAATTCCAAACTGTTGCGTCTCAATCAAAAGAAAACCTAAATACGAGTGATTCGCGCGAAAAACCTGCAAGAATTGAGTTGCCAATCAGATCCATCAGTTTCGTCCAAAAACTACAGAATTTGGTCACATTGGCGCTGCGATCGCTGATTTTGCCAAGTTTTCTGCAGCGCCGTGGGGCTTTAGTGGCAAAATCAGCGATCGCAGCGTCAATGTGACCAAATTCTGTAGTTTTTGGACGAAACTGATGGATCTGATTGGCAACTCAATTCTTGCAGGTTTTTCGCGCGAATCACTCGTATTTAGGTTTTCTTTTGATTGAGACGCAACGGTTTGGAATTTTCAAATAGTGTTTTCACAAGATATACTCAAAATTTAGCAATCTTTCAAAATAGAGAGAGCAATACACTTAACCGGAGAGGATCTTTAATTAAATTTTCCAATAAAAGATGAATTTTTGAGTTTTTGCACTTTCTCATTTTTAATTTAAACTAATCAAAATTTTAGTTTCCTCACTTCCAAATCAATCCATTTAGAATTATTTATCTAAATTTTAGTTCACTTTTAATGCAAATTGTTAAAAAAAAAACTAACTGGTATATTTTTTTTGTCTGAAGTACTCGCACGAGCAAGACAAACTGCTGGCGGCGTACTTTGTGTGTTCCTTGCTGGTGTACTTGCTTGTGATGCTGGTGGAGGCGATCGCGAGCAAAAGGTAATTTGCATGGCGATTAATCAAAACTCACGAATCTCGGTGTCATATTTTTGGGTGTGATTTTTATACACAATTTGTACATTTCTTCTATTTTAGCTTACTTGCTCTTTTGGCCTGTGCTCTATGCAGCATACCTGGACTGATTTTAATAGCATTTATCAACTTTCTGACTCTATCCTATAAGCGTGAGGTAAGAATCGGTGTTTTATTTCTGCTCTTTCACTTTTCAAAATAAAGATTTGCACGCCCATCTTATTTTAAAGGGTCTGACGAACTAAAACTCAAATCAAAGATTCTCATAGATTTTTGCGAGACTATTCAAAGCTTTTTTAGAAAATTGTTTTTGAACAAAAATTGACGGAGTTATTAACTTTTAAAGATTTAAAATCTGCAGCCATCTTTGTTTTATCGAGAAACTTTGAAAGTGAATTACTCTGTCAATTTTTTGTTCAAATACAATTTCAAAAAAGTTTTTGAAACTTCATATACAAATTTTATCAGAATCTGCACAAAAGAAATTTTGTTTTTCAAAAAGTTGATGGTCCCTTTAAACTTTTATTGAAAAATGCAGAGCTGCAGCAATGTGTGCGGCAAACTCGTGACCAAAGTTTCGACCAAAATGAACCAGAGTCGTCAGGTGGCGCAAAACGTGGCCATCTGCAGCGTCGTGTGCATTTACGTCGCAGCCGTGCTTCCACTGGTGAGTCTCGCCAACTCGAACTTGTTGAAACGTGATCGCTCTGTTCTCTTTCAAAAGTTATTCAATTCGTGGCCAAGCGAGTGCAACGTGGACCAGCAAATGTTGCGAAACTTCAGCGAAGGCAACGCGACCGCCCAACCCGAGCTGAATGGCACCGTCGGCTTCGTCTACAACGTCAGCCTTTGTGATACCGAGCAGATTCCGGAGGTCAGTTTTTCCTACAGAAATTTCACTATATTCTGAAATTTTACGGAGAGAAAAATAAAATGTTTAACAATTGCACTATAATTGGTTAAAAATTTAAAGAAAAATTCAGCAATTAAGATTACTTTCGATTTAAACCTCAAAATTTCCAAAGTCTGAAAAACCTGATTTGTATTTTTTTTTTAATTTTTGGACTTTAATTTATTTAAGAATTATAGCAACACTTTTTAATGTTTTATTTATTATTTATTCTCGAAAATTAATTAAAATATGAATTTTGATGTTTTGACGGTAAATTTTGTTAATTGAAAGTGGAAAATTCATTTTTCTGTCAACGCTGAGCATATTAAGAAACCGTTTTGCTCCGGCGCTTCGAAAAAAATTGATAGGATTATTTATTACTTTTAACTTCTGCTCCAGTGGGTTGCCGGTTGCTTTGTGCTGGCGATGGCGGCGTGTGCCGAGAATAGGGCACTCACCACCCCTGTGAAACTGTCGCTGCTCGGTCTGGGCAGCATCAGTTCCATCCTCTGTTTGATGCTTCCACCCATGTCAATGTGAGTATTTCAACGATTTCTCTTTTAGGTAAAAATTTCAATTTTGATATTTTTATAAAATGCTGATAAAGAGAGAGAAAAATTGATGGTATAAAAAAAGAAAGATTCTAACAGTTTTTCCTCGTTTTTCAATTATAGTGAGGAATTTTTTTTTTATAATTTCATTTCCATTTCATGAATAAGTTGATAGCAAAAATTAATTAACTCAAAGTACTGTAAAAATATTATTTTGCTTTTTCATTAGAAGGATAGTTGGCCTTTTTATTAATGTATTTTTTTTTACAAAAATAATTTTCATTTTGTTTTTGCCTCTTGTTCTCTTAAAATGTTAAAATCATTTAAAATATATAGTGGAATTAAAAAAATGTTCTTGATTGTGAAGGTGGAGCCTTGGTGGTGATTTGACCGGGATGCCGGTCTTGCTGACCGCCTCTTGCATTTTATTTCTGCTCCTCGCCGCACTGATTCACAGCCAGCAGGCGGAGACAACTTCGCGCCTCGACTTTTTGTGGAAGCTCCAGGCAAATGGTGAGAATTTTTCTGTCCATTTATTGAGTGAAAAGTTTTAATTTATGAGAAGCTTTTTTAAAGATATTTTAAAATAATTGAAATCATTTATAAAATAGTTGTTTTGATATTATTTTGTTTTAAATTCAATTCAAATTCAACATTTTGTTAAATGAACAAAAAAAAAATTAAAAAATAATTGGCTTTTTATGTCCTTTTGCTTTATTGAGACTCAATGATTCATTTTCGGTATTTTTAATTTATTTTTTTCTTACTAATCAATTGATAAGTGGGAAATATAAGAATGACCCACAAAAACGAATTATGCAACCTGCTCGTTGGTGGTGTCGTGCCGGTTGCATATTCTCGCTTCGCAGCAGGCGCTCGCCAAATGGTGAAATCTCTCTCTCTCTCTCTCTCTCTCTCTCTCTCTCTCTCTCTCTCTCTCTCTCTCTCTCTCTCTCTCTCTCTCTCTCTCTCTCTCTCTCTCTCTCTCTCTCTCTCTCTCTCTCTCTCTCTCTCTCTCTCTCTCTTTCAAGCAATTTAATTTATTTCGAACGCGTGTGTTGCAGAGGAAAAAGAGGAAATGGAGCACTTGCAGGCGCACAACAGAAAACTGCTTTCCAACATTCTGCCCGAGCACGTCGCGGATCACTTTCTAGGCGGCGATATTGAGGTAAGGAAATCAAAAGTATTGGCGGAAAAGGCCTCCGCCGCGAGAGGCTTCTCCTTACGAATTTATTTCGCTCTTGGGCCTCTCCCTTTTAGGAAATATATACATAGTTCCCCTTCGAATTCATTTTCTCTTATCGCGAAATGCGTGGGATCAATATGGAGTTTCTCGGAAACTTCACCTTGTTACTCGGAGAAAATGATTTCGGAAACCTTGAGAGAATTTCATTCATTACTTTTATCAGTTCTAATATTAATGATAATTTAGTGAAAGTTGCAACAATATTTAATTTAAATTTACATAAATAACTCTGAGTTATGAATAAAACATTAAATTTGACTTTTCACTGCAAAAATTATACCAGAATTACAAAATTAGGGATAATATAAAAATTTTATTGTATCAATTACCTTATTGTCAAAATCCATTTTAAAAAAAAGCATAAAATTTGCTTGGATTTGATTTCAAATAAAAATTTTCAATAATTTTGCAGTATTTAAAGATCCTCTCCGGTGATTTGTATTGCTCTTTATTCTGATAGATTGCTAAATTTCGAGGATATCTTGTGAAAACACTATTTGAAAATTCCAAACCGTTGCGTCTCAATCAAAAGAAAACCTAAATACGAGTGATTCGCGCGAAAAACGTGTGAGAATTGAGTAGCCAATCAGATCCATCAGTTTGTTCCAAAAACTACAGAATTTGGTCACATTGGCGCTGCGATCGCTGATTTTGCCACGTTTTCTGCAGCGCCGTGGGGCATCAGTGGCAAAATAAGCGATCGCAGCGCCAATGTGATCAAATTCTGTAGTTTTTGTACAAAACTGATGGATCTGATTGGCTACTCAATTCTCACACGTTTTTCGCGCGAATCACTCGTATTTAGGTTTTCTTTTGATTGAGACGCAACGGTTTGGAATTTTCAAATAGTGTTTTCACAAGATGTACTCGAAATTTAGCAATCTATCAGAATAAAGAGCAAATGACCGTAGTGGATCTTTAAGTAAAATTATTAAATTTCTACAAAATAAAATAAATTACGAACAAAAATTCGTTAAAATCAAAAAATTTAATGAATGATTTCAAGGTTTCTTACCCTTACTTTGGTGCCTTAAATAAGAATTATTTTAAAGGTCGAAACATGATAAAATAATTTAAAAGTAAATTGTTTAATAAAATATTCAAATTCCACTGCTGATTTATTTTGTTCTTGTTGAATAAATAGGAGCTGTACCACCAAGAGTGCGAGTTTGTGTGCATCATGTTCGCGTCGATTCCCAACTTCTCGGAATTTTACGTCGAGTTGGAGTCGAACAATGAGGGCGTCGAGTGTCTGCGGCTGCTCAACGAAATCATCGCCGACTTTGACGAGATTTTGGCGGAAGAGCGGTTCAGCTCGATCGAGAAAATCAAGTCGACTGGCGCCACTTACATGGCTGCGTCTGGTGCGCACCGCCGAATCTTGCCGCAAATAATAATAATAATAATGCGCGCTTTCAATTTTGGCAGGCTTGACAGAGGAGTCTTGTGATCTCATTAACTTCACGCACGTCACCGCGATGGCCGATTACGCGCTGCGCATCAGGGAACAATTAGAATATGTTAACGAACATTCCTTCAATCACTTCAAAATCAGAATAGGTGAGACGAAAAAGTGTTGATTTTTTTTTAAATTGTTAAAAAATCAAAATAATTAAGAAGTTTATAATTATTTTCTTAAATTTTATTTATTTATTATAGTTTTTTTTAGTAATGTTTACTTTTTAAAATTAATTTAATAAAAAAATGGAGTTTTTTACTATATAAAATTAATTACAAATGAAATAAGTTCACAACGAATAAAAAAAAAATTAGAAATGATAATTATTTAATTTAACTTTTCAATTATAATTATATTAAAAAAAAGCATTCTTGTAATTGATAAGGTATGAAAATTTACATTTTTTAAACTTCTAGTTATGAAATTAAATTTCACAAAAAAATGCGTATTTGTTATTTTATTGAAGTAAATTTAATTAAATCTAAAATTTTAATTTTCTTAGGCATAAGTGTGGGTCCAGTGGTAGCAGGTGTGATTGGGGTGAAAAAGCCGCAGTACGACATTTGGGGAAATGCCGTGAACGTGGCCAGCAGGATGGACTCGACAGGCCTACTAGATTCCATTCAAGTAATTTTTCATTATTAAAACTTCTCATTAATTTAAAATTTTAATTATTTTTTTTTCAGGTGACGCAGGAAGTGTACAAAATTTTGTGTGAGCGCAACTACTCGTTGACCTGCAGAGGGCCTGTCGATGTCAAGGGCAAGGGTGAAATGGTGACCTACTTGCTGACCGGAAGCAGTTAAAATTTTGTGATCTTTTTAATTGTATAAAATCTCAGAGTATTTTCAGAGTGAAAAATACGCAGGGCTCCCTATTGAAATGTCATTTGATGCAAAGCTGTGGATGTATAGATATTTTATGTATAAAAAAATAATATGTTATTGTTACACACAAAATTATACTAAATTAATTCGGTTGTTTTCCAAAATTCAAAATTTGTTTGAAAAATTTAAATCAGAGAGAACAATAATTGCTTGTAAATATAAAATATTTTAATGTCGGAATCTATATTTTGTGGAGAATGTGAAACTGAATGTTATAGCAGGCCTACGAAAGAAATATCTTAAAATCTCTCATTCCGTGGTTTTAATGAACAATAAGATGTGAAAAAATGTCCTATTGTGTTGGTATATAAAAAACTGATAAATCAATCTCCTTTTTTATTTTTCGGCAACAAGGAGGCTCGTCATGAGTCCGCAGTGAATTGTGACGCATTATTATTTGGCAACTCATTCACGAAATAATTGTTCAGGAAGTTTAGGATTCCTCAACTATCACAAGAATAGTTGGCATTCCAAATAAAATTCCAAAATGTTTCATTTTTATTATTTATTCCTTATAAAAACACGATTTTCTTTAAAGAGAGAGATGAAATGCACAAATGTTGCGGATTGAGAAAATGCTAAAAGTGACCCCCGAGATGGATTCTATTCAAAAATTTTAAATTATATTTTACTAGCGAGTGTTACCGTTTTCAGGTGAGATATGATTGTTGTGAGCCATTTTCTTGTTTGCGACCGTTTCCTGATTTATAGTAAAATTTCAAATAACTGTTAGTAAAATAAAATCTTTCGAGGCGTGACATTTACCAGGATTTGGGAGGCAATGGAGCTGATCTGATTGGTGAAACTCTGGAGCTGTTCGAAGCGACGCCTGGTTTGCACGGCCAACACGTGGGCAGCTCCGTCGAGCCGCAAACTCTGGGAAAGATTCGATTTTTAAAACAACAGAAATATTTCAAATTGGAAATAATCTTTATTTTTTAATTGGAGGATAATTCATTTCAACACAAAAAATTGATTCTTTCTTTAAAATCAAAATTGTCTCACATGCAGAACTTCGATGAGCAAATGTGAGAACTTGCTGGAGGCAGCGATGGGCAGGGCGGTGAGGAGGTTCACCACGTGCACCAGCCGACGAGCGCTCTCCCTCGCCAACAGGGTGGTTCTCTGCTCCAGGGTCTCAGGTGCAGGCTGGTTCTCAGGTTCGTCTTGACTCAGCTCGCGCCACAAATTGGCCAAATAATCGACACTGCCCTTCGGATCAGTTACAGCCTGGAAAAGAAATCAAATTTAATTGTTTAAAATTCTTTTCCAGAAATTTAATTTACTTTTAAATAAAATAATGTGAAATTATTTGTAATATTTAATTTAAAAATTACACAATTAAAATTAATTATTTAAATGAAGTTACTTTAAAATAGAAATAAATGTAATCATTTAAAAATTAATTAATTAAAATTCTATTCCTCAATATTAAGTTAAGATTGAAATATCCAAATGTAAAATTGTTATTTTTAATATTTAATTTAAAAATTGAGCTACTAAAATTAATTAAAGTTCTATTCCTCAAAATTAGGTTATTTTGTAAACAAAAAAATCTCAATTTACAATGTTTTTTGAATATTTAATTTGAAAATGAAACATAATTAATTGATTAATAAAAATTATATTCCTGAAAATTAAGTTACTTTGAAATGAAAAAATTTTAAACTATTATTTTTATATTTTTTAAAATTTCAAAAATTAAACAAATTTTTTAAAATTCTTACAATTTTGGCGACGCCTAGCAAAAGGGTCACAGCATCCATGGCGTGCTCCCTGAGCGACTTGACCTGAGCAAGGGTGCGCCTGGTCAGACGGCGCTGGAGGGTGCGCGTGAGTCTGTCGACCCGATGCACAGTTTGCAGAGCTCGATGCGGATCTCGGGAAGGATTTTTCTTGAAATCAGTCTCGTCCTCACCTGAAATGAGGTTTTAATTGAGATTCTAGAGTGTTTTCAGTGGAAATACTGATGTGAATGTGGACGAAAATTATCTCAAATTTGGGAGACATGTGAAGTGTGCGTATCGACGAAGCAAGACTACGATTTGTTGTTCAATCTCATGACTGACTTTGGCAACTCATTCTGAAGAGCGAGTTTATTTTTAGCCTATCGAAGTCGTCATGTAATTTTGCTAATTATAACGCATGAGATGATTATGATCGTTAAAGTTTTCCAATGAAATTGTTCATAAAGTTGATAAAAAATGAAAAATCCAGACCAAATTTTTTTGGAAATTTACAAGCAGCAAATAATTAAAAAAAAAATTAACTATATTCACTGAATATGAACTTTTTTGTAATAATTTGCTGAGTTAATTAAAAAACTTGGGAATTAAAAGTATTTATTCTGGATAAATTTGAGGATCAAAATCAAATCATTAAAACTTTAAATAACAGGTATGTAATTTAATTATCTTTGGATTTAAATGACAAATCTACTTATTGCAATTTAATGAGCAGCCAAATTTAATTCATTTTTGCATGTATTAATTTTGTGTTAATATCTGTACTGAATTGATTAATTAACAAAATTATTAACAATTAATCAAGAAATTAATTTAATTTCTTTCTATAATTTTAATTTTTAAATGGATAATTTTACCATCTTTGAAAATAGCCTCATCAGAGGACTCTGGTGGCAAGTAAGTGTCCATCAACTGCTCAGCCAGTTCGAGTCCGACGTCGATGGACTCGGCAGCGATGGAGCCAACCCTGGTGTTCATGGCCTGGTCGGCCCTCTGCAGGCTAAAGTCGCAGGCCGAGTGCATTCCTCGGGCGGCCACTTCCTTGACCGAGTTGGCTCTGACGAGCACCGGCCGAGCGATGGCCTCGGCTTTCTCCGACACCAAACCGCGCATGTTGGACAAAATCTGGAATTTTAATCATTACAATTTGATTTGCTGTTAAAATTAAAGAAGGACTTGCCACTTCAGGGCGTTGTTTGATGGCTGGAAAATTGTCCTCGACAAAGCCGAGTCCGAAGCAAACGGCCGTGTCGGCCAAGTGAATGGGCAACTGCAGAGGACGGGAGGAAAGGGTGAAGGTGGCCACCGAATTTAGCTTTGATTCAGCCACACCGAAACTCCATTCTGTCACTTTGGTGCTTTTCTGAAAAATGATAGGAAAGTTGTTAATTTTTAATTTTGATGATATTTTTCTGAAAACTGAAAATAATTATTCTAGAATCTGACAAATTATGAAACTAAGTCTCAATGCCACATTTAAATTTGACAAAAATTTAAAACTAAATCATAAAATTAATATTAATCTCCTCAGGCCTTCTATTTTCATCAAATTAAGCAAATTTAAATTAAAATTATCACCTTGAGGCGGTCGTAGAAAATTCCAACGGCCGAAATTGCTGAATCCAGCACCGGAATCTCATGAATTCTGCCGACAAACTGCAGCTCGACCGGCGAAGGGCCGTGGCCGTTGGTGCCGTTGGCCGCCTGCTTGTGGCCTCTGGCCACTCGTTGCTCGTTCATCGCGCGGAGGTGTTTGACGCGGCGGTGGTTCAGCTTGTTCTTGAGCATGAAATCGTACGTAATCTCGCTGCGACTTTGGTCACCGGGGTCGCGGACGGCGTGTTCGCTGCGTGATAAGCTCTCGACGACAAAGACCGGCCGCATGACACCACCTCACCCTCTCTCCGCCGACCTTTGCTCCCGGCATTCTCGAACAGACTCGAATTCCGAGCGTTTGACCTAGCCAAAGGTCGATGCATCCGAGGAAGGATGGAATGCGGAGAACGCGTTTTTCTTGTCCGACGAACACCGCCGCATTTTTTGCCACTCTGAACCTGTGAATTTAGTGTAAATATAGAACTACATACTTGCAAATAAATCACCTACAAATCAATTAAATTAAATAAACAAAATTAGAAGAAAATAATGTTGTGTGCCAGTTTGAAAAAAGGCATTTAAAATAACTTAAATTTAGAGTTTTTAATTTATACCAGTTGTGTCAATAAGCAGAGGTTCATTCCGACAACTCTTCTTCTTCGATTTCTGCAAAAATTAACTTTAAAACCGAGTTTGACATTATTTTTCATTGTGATTTTCGCTTTGTTTTGGTCGTTTTTTGTAGCTTTGAAAGGTGTGTAAGTAAAGGAGCTAGAGATCTTTTGACTTAAGAACACTTTTACCTAGTTAAAAACAGTTTTATATGAACAAGTATCAGTTTGAGATTCATATTATCACATATATTAAGAGATAATGCATATATTTCTTGTATTATGGCAAAAAATTACACCTTTTTATACGCATACTTCCAAGCTCCTTTGCATACTCACTCAATTTACATTGCGTGACACCTGCTGCCTCTGGTGTCAAATATAACCAACTTTTTGCAGAGCCAAACACGGTGTCGTTATTATAAATTTGTCTCCAACATTCACTCATTTCACTGTGCGAATTCGTGTTAATTCCTACGTAAAATAAATTACCGCGATTTTCATCATCTAATGATGGATTTTTTTGGAGAATATCAGTTATGACTGCGACGCATTCTTCTCATGACGATGACGCCGACCAGCTGTTCCAGATCCAGAGGTATGTAAAAATAATTAATTTTCTAAATCTCTCATTGTGCATTATGTATACTCTTGCATTTCGTTTGCGTTAAAATATACAAATTAATTTGCGATATTTTTTGTTTCGACCATGATTAATTATTTAAAAAAAACCAATTATAATTATATAGATTGTTTATACACAAAAAATGGATGTATGCAAGATATTATATATGCCACATGAATTTTATATTAAATTTTAAAAATGAAAATTAATCTGGTTTTTTAATAAATCTTGTAGTTATTATGGAAATTTTTAGTTGCAAAAATGTATTTTTATGGATTCAATTTGGTGGGAAATGAGCACCATCTACAAAAAGGCTAGAGATAGGGTTAGAGAAACAATCAGCAGATCGCTTGTCTCTTTTAAAGCACCTTTTAAAGATCGCAATATATATTTATATTATATATATATTTGTCAATTTCCTTATTTGGTCGTAATTTCAGGTTGATTAATTTTTTAATCCTGTAGACGACTTTAAGGATTTAATAATTAAAAAATCAAAATTTAGTCAAGAAAAGTAGATAAACAGCTAAAAATTTGGATTTAAAAAAAAATATAAATATAAAATGAAAAAAAAACAATTGTTTAAAATTTGATGTAAAAGGAAATGTAAAAAAGACTTGCCCTTGACAGATTTATTGGAGTGTGAATTTTTGTGAGCGCGGGAAGCGGGAATCAACCCCGTGCTGCAGCCTGGGGGTAGTTTTGCGAAAACTGTGTCTGCGCACGTCGGTCGGTCATATTATGTGGCCGCGGGGTGGGAGGCCAGGCAGGGCGGCCACAGCGCGCCAGTCGATCTCAGCAGCCCCCAAATCTCGGACACACACTGCACTCACACACTATATCGCACCCTAAAACCAAAACACCACTCACGCAAAAACACACTCTTAAGAATAAGAGACGAAAACACACAGGTAGAAAAAATTCGCACTGCCCCCGCAACTGATCTGTGTTTTTGCTGTTGCTCGATTTATGTATTTGTTTGTTGCCCGCCCGCCCGCCCTTTGCGCCGGCCTTTGATGTTCGACCGACTAACCGAGTGCCAGCGCACTACCCTCCGCCACCCACCCACCCACCCCCTCACCGCAAAACACCCGCCGAGCTTTCCCTCGAGACAAACGCTTTGTGTCAACCCTTGATGTGCCCAAACGTGACTTGCGCCGAAAAAGACTTTTTTGTCGCCCAACAAATAAATGTGAAACATCCCTTTTTCTTCTTGTGTTGATTGCGTTTAGAAGGTTTTTGGATTAAAATCACAGATTTTAAAATTACTCCTCTTGAGTTACATAATTTCTTCGGATGGATTTAAAAAGAAAAAACACTTCGATTTAAAAAAAATATATTATTTTTTTCAATTGCTTCTCTGGAAATTCGCACAAAAAAAATCCAATAAATTTTCTCTTAAAACACATTTATATTAGTTAAATTCTAATAAGAATTGGCAAAAGAAAATTAAGACACGTTGAGTTAATTTCATTAAAGGAAAGACTTTTTTGTCGTACACTTAAAAAGTGATTTTCTTACATAAGAGACAATTATAGTTAAAATGAATCGGAATTAATCAGTCTAGAATGGGCAGTTTTAGGAACAAAATAGTTAAAAAAAATTATTTTAATGCCGTTTTGACATGGAAGTTGAAGTTTAATTTTAACTTAAATAAGAAACGGAGAAACATTTCTATTCCTCCGAAATTTGGTAAACTAATAAAGAATTAAATGAATTAATTGAGTTTTTGTTGATAAATTTGTTTTAATTTCTTAAATTATGACTTCCGGTATAATAGAGGAGATTTTTTGCAAAATGTTCCAGCAATTCTAAAAATATTGAACTCCATTTTGCAATTACAATTTTATCAAACTTTATTTGTACAATCTTTTTAAAATCCTATACTTTTATTACAATTCTCAAATTTTAAAAAGACAAAATTGCTATAAAAACGAGCTCTTGTGTGTATTTTCGTCATGAAACCTTTCATCTCTCATCAGCACATTATTTGTATGTTCTTGAGGTTTTGCTTTAATTCAATTGCAGAGCTTTTCTGCGTCATTTCTACTCAATGACCAAATTAGCTGACATTTCGCCGGCGCACTGCTTTTTGCGTCCAATTACGCCGCAGCAGGGATGAGAGAGGTTGTCGTTGTATATTCATAATGCCGAGCGTCGGAGGGTTGGTCGACAAAGTGACGCATTTGCAACCCCCTTTCCGTTCTCTGTGCCTATTAATTAAACCGCACTACCTCCCGCTGCGTTTGCCACAAAATCACATTAAAATCAATCATTTCAGGTATCAAACTCTAAAATTTATTTCTAAAACAACAATGAAGGCACTTTTTTCATAAATAAATTCAAGTGTGTTTCTCAGTCGGCGGAATTCTTCTTCAAAGCTTCTTTCAAGTTGTTGCCTCTCTTCATGGCTCCCAAAATGTTCATCATTTCCTCCACGGCTTCGGTGTTTCGTTTCTCCAAAGGTTTCTGCACTGGCCTCTAAATTTTCAAAATAAATTTATAATCAATTCAAAATTGAAAGATTGACAATCATACCTTGACAGCGGACCTAAGGGTAAATCTGCCACCCCTGATTTGATTGATGACGTCATCGATCGCGGCTGAAATTAACGTTATAATTTTAATCAAAAAATAAAAAAATTAATTTTACCTCCAGCAGCAGGTTCTTCCACCTTTTTCTCAGCTTTGTTGATTTTCAAGGAGCCACTTGGTGCGAGGCCTCCAGGAGGCATTGGAGGTGGTGGCGGTAGAGGGGCAGCCGGGGGTGGTGGAGGTGGAGGCGGTGGTGGGCCTGCCATTGAAGGTGGCGGTGGTGGTGGAGGAGCCGAGCCACCAGCCTCCAGTTCCTGTACTTTTTCCTCCAGTCTGGCGCTCTTTTTCTGTTCGCACTCAAGCTCAGTTTCCACAAGACGCAGCTTTTCTTCCAAAGCTTCCACTCGACCTTCCGATTGCATTTCGGATATTTTGAACTGAAATATTTGTTGATTTATTAGGCAAACTAATGAATCATCCTATTGATAATGGCAATTTTACTTTCCTCAGTTTTCCTTCATTACAATTAAGTACTCAAAGTAAAACGTATAACCTTCTTTAAATTGGCTCCCTGTACCCTTCTTAATTTCCCCTCTTTCGAATCGTTTCCCTTTCCCCCATCCTTTCAAACCCATTTCTCCTCTTTCCCCTATCTACCTTTCCCAGCGCATGTTTCCCCTACCGTCTTATCTCCATCTTACGTTCTCCCCTCTTTATTAATCACCCTTTCTTTCCTCTCCTTACCCCTTTCCCCTCTAGCTTCATATTATCTGCCATATATACCTGTAATTCCTCTACTTGCTCGTTGTGTTTATTACTCTCTTCCTCGAGTTTGGCTTTGAGATTTTCCACCTCCTGGAGCAAAAGCATGAGCCTGTCGTTCCCAGCCACGTCGACCATGAGCAGGGCACTTTGGTGGGCCAGAACGTTTCGTTCCTTTCTCGCCTGCGCAAACACACACCACAAGAATCAAATTCGCTCTCACAAAGCAAAATATGCGCCTACTTTGCCCGCTTCCTTTTTGACGTCGCTAATTAGCTTCTTTTCCTCCTCGAATTTCGCCTGCAGAGCTTTGTACTCTTGCGTTTGCACGCTCGTTATTTTCTCCAGGTTGGCGTGTCGCTCGCGCATCTCCTTCAACTCCAGCTCGAGCTTCGCTCTGTTCTGCTTTTCCTGTTCCAGCCACACGGACGTTTCGATCAGCTTTTCCTGCGCCTCGAACTCGTCCAACTTGGCTGCGTTCAGCTCCACTTGCAGAATCGAGTTTTCCGACGCCAAATCTAAATTTTATTTTTAATGTTGAACAAATTTTAATTACATTTAGTTAAGAACTTTTTAGAAACATCAATTTCTAATCTTTCTGGTTTGCAAGTTTCTGACAAAAAAATTCACCTTGTTGACCCTTTCTCAGGGAATCCAGCTCGTCGAAAATCTTCTTGTCGTTCTCATTTTCGGGAATGGTACTCAGATCTTCCGTGAACCCATTTGGAGAAACTTGCAGGTACTTTTGCACAAGCATGGCGCTCTGCCTCTTCAAAGCTCTGTTTTCCTTGTACCACTGCAGCGAAACGGAGATAATTTAAAAAATTAGAAAAAACTTCTTGACAAAATATTTGCAATTTCTCACCCCGGACGCCTTTTCAATCGCACCCTGCATCGCAGACGTTTCGACTTTGTACAACTCGGCCAACTTTTCGTACTCTTTACAAACGGTCTCCGAGGCTGATAAATTAATTGTTATAAATTGAAGTTTAAATTTATTCCAATTTACAAACCTTTTTGCAATTTGCCATAATCGGAGACTTTTTTCTGGTAGTTTTCTTTGAGGTTGTTGAACTCGGCCGCGATGCTCCGGTATTTCTTTTGAAGAGCTTCATTTTCTCGAGAGACTGCAAATATTAAAAGTAATTTATTTTTCATTAGTTTCCTCGACTCTTTTAATTAAAGAGAACTTTTCACAAAATTCATTAGAGAACAATTTCTTCTTGAAAGATATAATTAATTTTTATTTCATTTTTTACAAGTATTTGTGATACACTGAACAATATATTTAAAAGAATGTTGGATCTTTTGCTTGAAAACACTTAATATGGAATTGAATACAATAAAAAAAAATAGCTAAAATGATTTAAAAGCAGTTTAAAGTAAGTAAAATATTTCATACAATTATTAAAATACTTTAGTAAAATAAATATTTTATATCGTGAAAAAATTCACCATTTTATTTCCCTAATTTTTCGAATTATAAATTATTTGAATTTAATTAAATTGATTTATTTCTTATAGTTGTATTAATATTTCATTAGTTTGTAAGACGACATTAATAACAAATGGAGTACTTGGAATTATTACCATTTTAATTTACACAAATGACCCCGGAAGTGAAACTAAGTTTTAAATTTTTAGATTAGATTTCAAATATTTACGCCACAATTTAAAATTCGTCTTACTCTTTTGGTTGAGGACGACCAAGTCTTTTCTGCGTCTCTCGCAGTCGTCGAGTTGCTTCTTCAAGCGCACCTCGACCGCCTGATTTGTATTCCTCAGCTCGGCGACTGATTTGGCCGGATTGTTCCGCAACGTCGGCAGGGATGACGGTCCTGCTCTGCCGGCCTTGTTGACGCTCTCCGGCATTCTGCAGCTGCACCAAAAGATGTGAATAATTTAGTATTTTTCTCGGACTGGAAAACAGAAGTGAGGAAAAGGCTGCGGCACGTTCCGTTTTATATAGAGAGTAGATTTGCTGCGTTATCTTTGTTTGTTTTTCATATATGTGAAGTGTGGCGTTGTTGTGCGGTTTTTCCTTCCCCACCATAACTGATTCACTTAAAACGTTGGGAGGAAATAACAAAACCACTTGCGTCAAATTTCAAAACTATAGTGGATGATTAAACTACTATAGGCATCGGTCAAAAACTTCTGAAAGCTTTCGTGGAAATTCTTATCTTTGAATTGGCGTAGACGGATTTTTTGTTTTGCACTCAGAGATTTATTTCTTTTCCGCCAACCCATCACTCATTCACCACACTTCTATACCTTTTTTATGGTTGGAGCAGGCTTGAAAACTTAAAAATAGAACTTGATCATGTGGGAGCGTTTTTTCTCGTACGTGGGAGAAACCAATAAGTATAAACAGCTAGGTGCGTTATTTTTAACTCGCCTGCGCCTTCCACGCAACAGGCGCAGAGCAGGAAATTAAATTCAAGTTGAAAGAGTGAACGAAAGCTACACTTCCGTGTTGAAACGAAGGAAAAATCAAATTCATTAATGTGAAATTTAAGTTTAAAGGAAAATCTATTTAAATAAAGAGTCTTAAAAAAAATAAACTTACAAACAAATTCACTTTTTTAACTTCCTGTGATTTAATTAAGAGTGAAGTTTTTATTTCAAAATATGTTTTTTAAGGTAAATTAGAACGGATAAAATGTTTTTAAAGAAAATTTTCTAATTTATTTTACAATCCGAGTATTTATTTAATTTTATAAACAATTAAAGTAATTTTTAAGAGATTCAGAATTCAAGCATTTAAAATTATTTTTAAAGAGATTTTTATCTAATAATTTTAGTCCAAAATTGAATTCCATTAGTATAAATATTCTCCTTACCCTTTCGTAGTCATAATAAATAAATAATTGGGTCTCAACTCTCAATGCCGCGACATCGATCTGGCAGCAAATTAGCAATCAACCGCATTCTGCCGCCGGTATTGCTCTTGTTTACGTTTCGTGACGCAGACGGACGTCTTATCACTCTCATATAAAAAACATACATAATCCTCTCTTTCTTCTACTTTGACTCACCGCGCGTTAAGCAAATTGCGTCGCGAAAATTAACTGCCCATTGTTGGCGCCCGGTCTCGAAAAATCACAATCCTTTCCGGCGACCCAGTTCAGTGTCTGCGCTGACAAAGAAAGAAAGAAGCAAACCGCGGCGAGACGCTGCCGAGACTGCTGCTCCAGATGACTTTTTCACCTCGCGTCGGTGCTCAACCGAGAGCGCAATATGAGAAGTGTCGGCCAGACCACCAACTAAACCCCTTATCGCTCGCACTCATTTCAATTTGCTCCATTTTTTTTCATATTGTTTTCCGTGTTGGTTAATTTTATTGTGCGCATGATCGAGTTAATTGTTTATTTTGTAATTTCTAAGCGTTTTTAATAGGAAAAATTTAATTAAAATTGTCAATTGAAAATAAAAACCGGCCTTAAATTTTCGTTTCCTTGTTTCAAGAGGTGGAAAACGTGGGAATTCAATTATTCTTAATTAATTAAGGATTTTTTCAATTCGTCAATCTCTTTGATTTGCCAATTTACTTCAAAAATCCACCCCTGTATTGCTTAGGGGTGAACTTCAGCTTGTTCTAATATTTATCAAAATTATAGGCGATTTAAAACCTCAAATAAAAGTGAGAGGATGAAAAAAACCGGTTTTGATTAATTGATTAAAAAATTAATTGAAGCAGGTATTATTAAACTAAATAAAAACGATTTTGTAGAAGAATTGCACGATCGATACTGCTTGAATTATGAAATTATGATTTTCTTCAAAGGGTCAATTGAGTCGCTTTCTTATTTCAAAGAAAGAAATAAAATCAATAATTATCCTGCTCTATATTTTAATTGCGGTTTGCATATTTTTTTAAATTTATTTGTTAATTAAATTTTGAAAAAAAATTTGTACAACATTTCAGACACTAGAACAGATTTTTGTTTTAATTTCCATATTATTATAAATTTAAATGGCTCTGCATCCCAATTTGAATCGTTTTTATTTTGAAAATTTAAATTTAATCAACTACGCTTTCTCAAATTTTTTCCTTGTCGGAGAAAGAGACATGATGGTGGAAGCCGAAGAAGCAAAAGGGCAGCAGGCGTTCTTCTCTCTCGCACTATTGATTTTGTCGCGCGCAATTAACAAAATTACTTTCGAGCTCTCGGCACGACGGAATGCTTTTTGCGGCGGTCCAAATTTAAGTCAGTTGCACAACCCTCTATAAAAGTGGAGGTTTGGTGGGAAGACGCGGAAAGCAGTGCTTTTTTTATTTGCTTTTTAATTCTTTATGCATGACGCAATCTCTTCTTCGGACAACACACACTTGAGGTCATAAAAAAAGTATCAAAGTGTACTTTGCAGACCGTTTGGGAAGATGAATGAAGTGAAATTAAATTAAGAGTGTTATTTAAAAAAAATGACGATATCGGTCAAAAGAATAAAAAAAATCCAAAATAAAACAAAAAATATATATAATAACGAGAAATTTCTTAAATATTAAAAAAAAAATTAAAATCTCTGCCAAATTGCTTTCAATTTCTTCAAATCAACTGCTGATAAGGAAAAAGCATTTGAATAACTGGGTTAAAAAATCAACTCTTTAAATTGAAATGAATAGTTTTACTTCCTTTTTAAGTGCAACAATTTTCCCACTTTTTAGATTTTTTTTGCTGTTATTATTTCCATTAAAAACGCAGCTAACCATTGGTAATTAAATTTTAATTAATTGTAATAAATTATCCGGCAAAATTGGAGAAATTGTTAAAAATAATAATGAATGCAGCAAGGAAGCAAAAATTATCTTCGCGTACATTTAGGCAACTGGCAGAACAGGCTTGTCAAGCGGGTTGCCTGCTTAGGCTCATCAGGCTGAATAGTTTGAATGAATTAATTAGAATTATTTAAAAATTTAAACAAGCAAGAATTTCATTAATTTAATTTAATTTTCTATACCTGCTGCAAAAAATTCATAGTTTGGCAAATAAAAATACATTTTTTTTCACTGTAATTTCCCTTTTTAAAAATTTGCACTTTTTTAATTAAATCTCTCTTTTTTCATTTAAATTCATATAAAATTACAGGTTTTACTTTCAACTGTAAATTGATACGCATCAGGATGTGCATGCTAAAGTGAGGGGTATAATATTTTGCGACTCGCTTATCAAATACAAATTTCCTGCTGCCCCAGCAATATCACCGTCGTCATCATTATTATTATTATTATTGCTCTCCGGTGACGGGTGTCTCCCCATAGTGCGCGCGCCAAAGTAATAATACTGCATTAGGGACGAGACTCACCCCCTGAAAGCGCCCCCAGCGATCACTCCCTTGCTCCGCATCACACAAGATACATCGCATGATTATTATTGCGCGACGCCGTGTTTGCCCAAGACCGACCGGCAAAGAAAGTAAAAAAAAATATGGATCTTTTCGCTTTCACATTGACGAGTCCATTACTGCTCGGCAAATACCTAATGGCCTGTCTACATAGTCATGAAATTAATGCACTTTAGGTGGAAAAAGGGTGCTTGTTAATCCATTTTACATACGGAAAAAATCATACATTCAAAACGTAAATATAATTAATTTGATTAAAAAAAGATCTTGTTTCAATTTTATTATACATTTTCTTTAATTTGTCACAAATTGTAACAAATTCGAGTTAGTTTAATGAAAAATACGGAAAAAATATAGATTTTAGTTCTTATATGATGACAATAATTATTTTTAAGAATCTTCATAAAAAAATAAAATTAAAATTACATTTAAAATTTTATTAGTGAACTCATGTTTTTGTTTTTCTTTGAATGAAAATTGGTCGTAACAATTTGTATGAGAAACCAAAAATAGTTTAAATAATTTTCAGGAAGTCATTTTATATAAATGCAGGAAACCAAGGAAAAAAAAACACCTTCTTCTGAATTCTGAAGTAAAATTGAGCAATTTCGTTTTCAATTTTTCAGAATACATTACAACAATTGATTTTTATAAATCTAATTATGTGGAAAAATTAATCAATAAAATTATAAGTAATTGAAATAGTAAAATTATTAACATGATTTATCTTTTAGCCTAATTAAATATAAAATATACAAACAAACAATTAACAAATTCATGTGGCAATTTATAATTTTCTATGTTGTTCTTTTGCACAATTTCATGCTTAATGGAAAATTTTAATTTAAATTTTAATTACCATCCAATCATTAATGAATATTATTCAAAGGCCGCGCATCAGCTCTATTATGTTGGCCAAAAAAAAGATGTCTTCCGCCCGAGGCATAAGGCCCCATGGCTCTGACGGCAGCCGTGTACCAACATAATTTTGGAATGCGCAGCCTTTGATATTATTAAAGAATTTAAAGAAAATGGCAACGCCACTAAAATATTTTAATAAAAACTAAGAAATTAAGAAATCAATTTTAACGAAAAATTAACAGGTAAATTTTTAAATTTTTCATCACCTTTCAATTTATTCTAAACTCTCAATGAAATCAACATGCAAATTTACTTCAAATCGTTTAATTCTTTGCTTAGATCTAAAAAAAAAAAATGAAATGAAATTTATATATTTATTAAAGAATCTATTTTTTCTAACAAAATGGGATTAGAAAATTTATCAAATAATTCAAAGAAATAATTTGTAAAGAAAGTTATGAAAATCACTCTTCATTTTAATTAAATCCGGGTTTGAAGGGGTGCGTGGACCGGCCGTTGTCTCTCGTTTTTAGCTGCAGGGCGTGCGGTAAAAGAGCGCTGGTGCATTATTATTTTTCACAGGAACACACGCGCGCGAGAACGTCTGCTCTCTCTATTTATTAACTCAAATCAACAGGCAGTTTTAATGATGTGCCGGCCTCTTTCATGTTGATTCAGTTAGTCATCAACTCTCTCTCTCTCTCTCTCGCTGACTCGGTGGTTGAGCAAAACTACCCCCGAACCCGCGCTCTCCCCCTTCCCTCCCTCGGCACAGAAGCAATATCGCTTATCCCATCACAAGACGACTCAATTCTCCCAGCCAACGATGAAAGCGACTTTGAATAGACAGATTTACTCCTCTCCGGCCGGAATTAGCACAGCCGCGGCTTTTAATGATTCTCTCAAAGACTAACCACGTTTCAATTCGGAAACCTGTAAATTTTGCCTCCTGTAGATGAATTACATATAATCAAAATTTATAAAATTAATTGTTATTAACAAATTAAAACATTTTTCCATACTAAATATGAGGGGAAAGGCTTTCGGAAAAATTAAAATTGAGAATTTGCAAATACAAATGTCAGACTTTGATTTAAGAAAGTTAGTTTGCAATTTTTGCAGAAATTTTCAAAACTTGAAAACTTCCAATTAACTGCCTAAAACTGTAGAAACACTGGTTTCAACAAGGTTATGTTGGTTAAAAGCTTGGTTTAATTTCATTATCATTTGTCGAAATTGTTCATTTCACGTCCAAGGTAGGATTAATGGTTTGCCATTAAAATTGTACATTTTTAGTTGAAATTTTTTTATATATCTTTAAGTTAATAAAAAAAAATTGTAATAAAATATTTAGTGTTTCTTCTTGTAATTTTTACTAAAAAACATTAAGTCGGAAACTACAATTAGAACGCCGGGAGTAAATTCCAAGTAAAAAATAGAATGGGAAAATTTGAATAAAAAAAATTTACCAAATAATGTGAAATTTGTTTAGAAAATGTTTTAAAATTATTATTTTGCAATCCGAACAATTCCTTTTTGAAAGTAAAATGTTTGCAGATGTGATGTAACAATTGATCAACCCGGTTCAACCAAACAACAGTGATAAGCACTACTTAATTGGTTGTTAAAACAGATTTATTCTGATAAATTAAATATTTAAAAAAAGGAGAAAAATCCTTCAAAGGTTGGAAAATAGTTTTTTTTTTAATCCCTGTTATTTTCCTCTCCTTGTAAATATCAAATGTTTAAGGAAATTAACATTGTGAAAAATATTATCGATTTTTGGGTCTCTTTAGACAAAACAAATGGGATTATTTTCAATAAAAGAGAAGCTCTCTGTAATTAAAAAAAAAAAAAAAAAAAATTGAAACTGTCCCAAGTTTTTGACTTTTTTCCCTCTTATGCAGCTTTATTTTTTTTTAAACAGTTTCTTCTGTTTATTTTCTCTGTAATTTATCAAAATATTCCTTTCCTTTATTTCATTTTTAAGCGTTTTTGCATCATAGATCTGTGATTTTTTTTGCAAACGTTCATGCGCGGTTCTCTTTCATACGTCAGCTCCAACGAGCGTAACGTGGAGTAGCGGCGGCGGCGAATCGATTTTCATATAACGCTGTTTGCTTTCATTACGAGTATCACTGTTGCATCTTTTTCGTTCTCTGAATGAGCTTCAGAGCTAGGCGGGGGCGAAAGGGTGGGTTGCATCGGGGTGCACTCGGCGTGACCATTTTCGCGGGGGACGCCAACAAATCCCCGGCGATATTATTATCGTGCGCAGCCGGTTTCGCTGTTGCTCAAAACGTCGGAGTGATGATAACCGAGCGGCAGTTTTGTGCAAGTGCCCTCTGAGATTTAAATCCCCCCATTCTCCATCTCAATCAATTAGTGCCGAGGATTTTACGTCGCAATTTCAAGTCTCCTTTGTTCCTCGTTAAAATTGCAAACAGCTCTTTCATCAGTAAAAACTTGTCTTTTAAAATATTTATGTGGACTTTTTATATATTTTCCATCAATTTATTTGAAAAATTTGCAATGAAAATACAGAATTATTAATATTAATAAGCACGATATACCTCAGGATTATCTAATGTTTAATTGATTGTGGAGCTGAAAAAAATTATAAAAAACCCCGTAATTTATTTCAGTCGCCGCTATTTGTCCAAAATTTATTTGTCAGAAAACAGCATTTTACATTTATTAGAAAATTAATAGGCATTCATCAGAAAACCTTTTTTTCATATCAGAAATTAAATCGTAAGCAATGCAAAGGTCAGAATTTTTTCTTTTGGATTTTCATTTTTTTAGTTTTCGAATATTTTTTCGGAAAATTTTGCCTTCTGTATTTCTGAACAAGGAAATTCAGCAAATTGTTTTTGATTTTCCTCTATAACATTTTCCTCATCTAGAATTCCTGACCAAATATTATACAAGTGTACGCAATTATTTGAGGAAAACCACAACCACACAATGATAACTTAATTTATTAAAAAAAAGTTGTTGATAAAATTTAACCAATGAACAACTATGTAAATTTCTTTAAAATCATCCGGCTTTGTTGTAAAACACGTGAAAATTTCCGTATAAAACTAATAAATTGTACATTTTAATGTTGGCAAATTTTGAAATAATTAACTGGCATTCTTGAGAATAAAACTGCAAATGATAATTTCCATTCAATTTTAAATGTTTTGTAAGAAATATAATCAATTCGTTGATAAGATTGGTTTAACTTCCAAGTTTTTAGTGATAAATGAATCTAAAACAACAAAAAAACAATTCAAAGTAGAGAAGAAAACTATTTGTTATAAATTCCAAATAATTTCATAATTTTTAATTATACAACAGTCGGTTTCCTCTGATTGTGAAATGCAATAATTGATTCCAAATAGTGATATGAAATGGTTCAAATTATATCAAGAGTTGAGCTAATACAGTTGAAATTATGAAAATAATTTATCGCTCGATCCCATAAAGTAAAGTAAATCCAGAATCTAAAATAATTTACAAAAAAATTTGCATATTTTTTTAATTAATTGTATTCAAACTAGTTTTTTTATTGCAATTATTGATCCAAGTTAATTGTAAAAAAAAACAATATTTAAAAGAATCCTAAATTTCTCTCGAGAATTTTTATGCTGGGAATTCAGCTCATAGAGATTGAAATTTAACTAAAATTAATGGAAAATTAGTTGTTTATGCGAATTTCTGGAATTTATCGAAAATTCTACGACATTCATTCAATGACCGGATGGTATTTTAGTTTATAATGCAGTTCATGAATTCAACTTTCTACTTTTAAGGCAGAAAAATTATCAGAAAAATGTAAATAGTTCATGCTTGTGAACATAAAATCTGTAGATTTCAATCTGCTTTTAACATTGTCAAAATCAAATTAATTATTCTAGTGATTCTCACGAATTTATGCCAAAGCTTGGCCAAGCCAAAACATAAATTGATTTTAGTTAAAAAAAAAGCATGAGAAATAAAGAGGTCGTGCATAAAAATAATTTAATATAAAAATTTTTTATGAATATTTTGCAAAATTTTCAGGGTGCACCCTGCCCGGAAGGGCGCGAGTTGGAGTGGCTGGTGTGTGCGGCCGGCGGTGACCACGCCTCCGCGGCCACGGGCGGGCGGGGAGAAAGCGCCGCGCAGCCAGGCCCGAGGACGAAGAGAGCTCGTCAGTCGGTCGGGCTCGGGCAGCGTTGAGAGTGCACGGAGGAGATTTGCGTGCCAAGTGACCGCCGCAGCAGTGTCCCCGAAACGAGGAACAAGTGTCCCCCGCCGCAGTGACCCCCGGACGCCCCCGCCATGGACACCCTCCTTCCGATCATCGCACTCATCGTCCTCGCTGCCCCGCACCAAGGTAAGTTTGCAAAACTAAAATTCCAGTCCTTTATTTCTGGCCCACAACGGGTCCAGAAAGCAAAAATAAAATTTATAAAATATTTTTAAAATTAGAGAAACTATCAGGAACACCAAAGTTGGTATCACAAGGTTGCTAACTTATTATTCAACTTCAATTAAAAAAAAAAGATAAATCTTCATCTCAGAAGTCAAAATGAGTAAATTATCAAAAAAGTTAGCATTCGATGAGTTTGCTAACTTATTCACCCATTATTTTATGTTTATTAATTTTATGGACCTTCAGAATTGCAAACTATAGCCAGGAAATATCGGTGGGATTAATTTCAGGATTAAATTCCACTCAGAAAATGTTTGAATCATACGTTTTCCCGCAAGCTCAGTATTAAATTTGAGGTGAACCACTTTTTTTTTCATCAACGAGGATGATTTGAAGTACGTTTCAGCCGAATTTACATTTAAATTTTTGGGTAAACTTCAAATTTCCATAAATTATTTTGTTTAAAAAATTCGCTAATCACATAACTAAATGATTAATAAAAAAAAAAAAATATTCTGTATACAAATTAATGTGATTGAAGTATAAAAAAAGCTCTAAATTTATTAAAATAGATATTTAGATTGAAATAGTATATAAACATTTCAATCTGATACGACCAGAGAAACTTTAAAACCGTGCGAATTTTAAAGGCCAAAGTTGAAACTTTAAACAATGCTAATGCACGTCCATTGGTTTTTGCATTTTCTTTTGTTTTAAATTTTTGAATGCAATTCTAACATTTTTATTCATGATAACATTTATGGTCCAGAAATAAATGTCACATTTTCAAATATGTGGAACTTTGATTTGGGCCTCTTTTGATTAATAAAAATATAGATTTCTTGGCTTAAATTAATTTAAATTGTAAAAAATGCAACAGAGAAGCATCATAATCAATCACAAAACTGTTAAAAATGACAGCATTTTGAAAGAGGTTTGTTTGATCTTGATGATGATTATTCAAACATAAAAATTTTGCAGACCTTCTTTATACCTCTTAAAACAGACTGAATTTTATATCTCAAAATCAGAAAAAGTTGTTTCCAAAATATCAAAATTGCATCGAAACTACTTCAAAACAACCCAATCAAGTTCTAATAATGTAAAAGTCTTCAACGATTTGCGATTTGTGACGCTGAAAATCATACACTTTGTAAAAATTGTATTTGTATAAACATTTTTTCTGTTTAGCCGTTTTATTGTTCACAACATTTAAATTTTAATATTTTAAGTTGAAGTTAAAATTGTTCTGGGGCATTTTTAAATTTTAACTAGCCATATTTTTTTTTTTTTTTTTGAGCGGATGGAAATTCGCATAAATTAACTCTCAGCAGCAGGCAGTGCTTGTTTTTGCAGATTCGAATGTTTATATGTTCCCCTGCTGTTTTCTATGCTTTTGTGTCAAACTAACGCGAAACCGCGAGCCGGGAACTTTTATTTCAATTAAGCCGCTCGTCTTGTTTAATGTTCATGCAAATTGCACTGACGATGCTCGACGCAAAGCAGAGGAGAGAGAGCTTTCAAAGAGACTCTATACGAAACGCTGATTCGGCACACACAGCCTCCCCAAGGGTGTTCCTCCCTCGGTCCCATCAGGTTTCAACTTAATTAAATGTGCGTGTTTCTTATGCATGAGTTTGAAAAAAAAAAGCACAGAGAGAGAGATAATCTCGGAAAGAATTCGTATAAAGTTGAAAGAATCTGAACGGTCATTTAGAATTATTATGATGGAATCAGTAATAAATTTAAGTGTCTGTTTAATCGGGGATTAAAGTTATTTTTATTACAAAATATGCCAGGATGATTTGTAAAGATCAAGAGTGACTAAATTATTCAAATGATTTTCTCTTCTGAGGATTTAATATTGTTGGAATTTGGAATTACTTCGATTTCTAAACGTAAAACATTTAATATTTCCAACAATATCTTTTTTATCTCATATAAATTGTTTTCAGCAATTGAATGTAAACAATATGATGGAACAATTAGCACAAATAAAAATAACAATAATAATTATGAAATAAGTTAAAATAAAAATTTTAACTCCGCCAAATTTCTTAAAGAAAGTATGAATTTGATTTGTTTCGAACAATTGGAAAGAATTTAAAAAATATATATGTTCTATTTAAATGAATTAATTTCTAAGAATTTTTAAGTCTCAATTTAATCATAATGAATACATTTCATTAATTTTTGTCAAGATTTTTAAAAATATTGGAGGACTTGAACCTGAAATAATTTATACTTTCTTTGTTATTTTTATAATAACGTGTGAATTTTCTCAAAAACGTTCTCCTCGTTAATTCCTTTTCACTTTTGGAGTTTTTCTGTCTCAAATATTTGGACACCGGGCGTGTAAACCGAGAGTTAAGCAATCACAAAGCGTTACAATTTCGACCAGCATTGCGTGTCGACGCCCGGTTACGTAAAATTTTTGAAAACACACGGCCGACATAAATGCGCGTGCTATCAACAGATTCTCATCAAATATATTATAATGCACTTTTAAGCGGTCGTTTTGATAAAATAAAAAAATAAACGCACCGGTTGCATAACCGGGCCAATTGAGTGACTCTTCAAGGTCGTGAGAAAATAAATAAATAAAAAAACCTACCGGTTTGTATAAAACTGCCAGTTCGTCTCGGGTATATAATTTGGTCTGTTGTTTTCGCTTTTCGGTGAAAGTTTTTGACAATGACACATAAAGTTACAACATGGTATGCATCCTTTTATTTATTTTCTGAAATGGAATTAATCGAACTTGATTAATTTAGAAGGAATTTCGCAATTCCTCGTCCTGCATTTCTATGCCACCCTTTAAGCACAGCTCGTTCCATATAAGTTCTATTTTGTGCTGAGACTGGCGAAATACACCCCTATATATACAGTTCGTTTTCTAATCTAAAGTCAATCAGCTAATGGAGCCACGCAATTACGGGTGGGAAAGCAGGAGAGCAGATGCGGCCCTTTGTGTGTCCGAAGCATCAAGTGGCGCAGAGTAATTTGAAAATAATTCGGGTTTAATTCCAAATTCCGTCAGTGATTTGACCGTGATTGCGAAGAATAACAACAGTATTTAAATTTAAAATATTAGTTAATTTTAATATTTTTTGCATATTTTAATTTTTAAAACGCTCTCTAATTTAAAAATTATTTAAATATTTACTAAAAACCAAATGAGTAAACATTGTTCATTTAAAGTTCCAATAATGTTTATGAATTTGAATAAAAATTTTAAAACTTGTGCCTGTTTTAGCTCATTTCAGTGTTTATTATAAATTCCAATTTACAAGAGTTTTTTTTTATTATTATTTCAGTTTGTTTTGAAAGTCGATACTCCAGATCCAGAGTGCATATCCGAAGAGCCGTTACATTGCACCGGTGTTATAAAATAATAATAATAATACAGAGCCGGCGAATTGATGCCGAGTCTGCAGCACGAATGTAGTTCAGCAGCCGAATCGAGTACGGTGAAAGTTCGCGCCGAAGAAGAATTAAGTATCACATACCTGAGCGCGATATATTGCGTTTTTGGCTCAATGAAGAAGAGCCACTTTGTGTGTACGAAATGAGCGAAACGGGGTTTTGGGAAGTTCACTGGCGAGAGTTAAAGTCAACATTGACGTTCTTTCAGTGACTCATTCAATTTCATGCAAATTTTTACTGTTATTATTTACTTAGATTTTTTTTCGCGTTTTTAAATATAAATTTTTTACCAATGATATAAAAATCTTCATGATCAAAAGTAGCCAAAATAGCAAGAAAATTTTTATTTTGCTCTTGATGAAAATGATTTCAGGAGTTTAGTAACAATCAAGCACAAATAAATATCAATAATTTTCAAATTTAATAATTTATAATAAATAAATACTTAGTAAATGTAAAAATTCAATGATTTTTAAATTTAATAATTTATAATAAATAGTTCAAATAATTATTTTTATTGATATTCAGGTTATTTTTTTAATAAAACAAGCACCTACATGAATTTTAAATAAATTTTGATTACATTTGCTGGGTTAATTCGTTGACCTTTTTTTTGGCTCCGAGTTTTTTAATTTTTTAAAATAAGTGCAAATTGTTTTCATTTTTACTGCGCTTTTCAGCACTGTGAAGTTCTTTATTTCCATTAACACATTTTTCATGCTAATCGAGTCCCACAACACTGAAAGTTCTACAGTTGTATGCACCTTTCGCGTTATCTCGCAGTGAAAACTGTGCCACACACTATATTCCTCTTCCCCCCTCCTTTTTTCCTGACTCAGTGTCTGGCAGCTAATCTCGTCAGGTCGTTGCCCGCCGCTCACTTTTCATTTATTCTAGCACATTCACGTTTGTTGTTTTCGTTTTTCATCGGCAGGGTGCCAAAAAATTTCCAAATTCTATCAAAATAAAGTCGATAACATGAAGAGTGATTTCTACTTTCCAACTTTCATTGAGGTCAATCAATTTTTCAAAATTTTATATTCTTGATTTTTGTAGAATTAATTGACATTAACCATCACTGAACAATAATTTTGATTTAAAATCAAATTCACTAGAGTCAAATTTTGGAATTAAAAAAGTTAAGCCTATACAATTGTGATTTTATAAGTAACAACTAACTTTAATTTCTCATTTAAAATTTAAATCAGAAGGATAGGATAACATAATAATTAGTTCCATTATTATTATTTTTTTTCTTTTTTTAAATCGGTTGGTAGGGCAAAATTTCCTACAGTGACTTTTTTACAGATTTATAAAGAAAAAATCAAAGTCTTAAACAATCTGAAAATTTAATTATAAAAATTATAAAACTTTTTCCTTTTATAAACTTTTAAGTCATCAAACCGTAATCAAAAATGCAGCTTGTGCGATAAAATATTCCACATCCGTTTTGTGACTTTTTCCTCTACAATCATAGGATTAAAATACATCATGTTAACACACGCAGCTGTAAAAATTCTAATAATTTCTTTTCT